CAGCTCCCATTAAATATTTTAATCTTTTACACTTGGTGTCTTTTAGTAGAATGTACAAATTTTGTCATATTCTCATTGCTCACCTGGACTAATTTATTTTTTACTTTAGTGCTTGTGTAAAAAAGAAAGAAAGTTTCTCGTTTGGAGGGGTAAAATATCCAGCCCTAGTATTTTCCTTCAATTACCATTTCTTTGAGATGGCTTTTCTGATTTTTCCAACCTAACCCCCTGAAAGTTGTTTTCTGTATAAATACATCCCCAAAGGGCCGCCATTTGATGTGACTCGCAGCTTGTAATTTGGCTCATTTGAACTTTAATTGCTTGGCGGCCCCCAAAGGGGACTCATTAAGATTTGCCAGCCCGCAGCTGGAGCAACACAAATCTGGCGACACAACTATCAGCCCCTCGACCCACCGACCCACCCCTCGACCACCCACTCCCCACCGAAGTTACTCATGAGTTAGATAGATGCAGCAATCTGAGTCCTCAGGCTCGTGTTTTATGTGCACTCGAGGCGGCTATAATCCAAAGTGCTCCCCGGTGAAAAGTTTTCTGGTTTATGCGAGAATGTGTGTGTTGGTTGTGTCCTTATAAACACCAGTGTTGGCGGATGCGGGCAGGATTCAGATTCGGATGGCGTTACAGGTGCGGATGGGCTTCAGATGGCCACGAGTCAAGTGGCTCTCCGTCTTCTTTTGGCCACAAGCGCTCGGCGTTTTAATTACGGCCGCTCTGCCGCCATTTTGTCCTTCCAAACAACCATGACTTTTTATTGGACATGTAATTACTGCGTGGTTCTTTTTTGGCTCGTTGGCCCACGCATATTTTTTATAATTACATGAAAAATGAAGACCCGGAGCCGAGCATCCTGAGTGTCCTGATGCCACGCTAATGATGCACGTGCCACGAAGATTGCGCGGATTAAGACCTCTTGACCTTCTGGCGGGACGTTTAAGTGGCAAGTGCCTTGCATTATAAAATTGGAGCCAGAGAGAGGTTTATATTAAAATCAAACACACTGATTCATAAGTAAGATCATATCAAAATATTGTAAATTATATAAACAGCACAAACCAAATAATTAATTATTTTACGTGCTCTGAGGGCAAAAACTGAATTAAATTGTAATTTAAATATTTTTTTCTGGTTTTCTATTTTAAGTCAAATATTTGCCAAACTAATATTTACACACTTACATGGGTTTGGCTGATAAAAAACATTTTGCAATTAGGTATTCGCTGAACCATGAAGTACTGAAAACATTTTTAAGCATTTTTTTTGTACCAGAAATACTTTGAGACTAATTAAATTTCAGTTTTTCCTCTTCGCAAAAGTTAATCGATACTGAAGGGAAAAAATCATGCTGCCAACTAAATCCAATCATTTTTTCATGTCCTTCCTTTATCTCTTACCATCTTTCCGTTTATCCTGCTCCATAAAAGGCAAAATCCATGAAATATTAACTAAGGGGTCAAAGTGCCGGGACGAGTACACCATATGGGCCAGTCTGGACCGAAATCCCTGCCCCTATCCCTACTCCTATCCCATCCCCATTCATCCATCCTGTCATCCTCCAGGTGTCTGCGTCATTGGCCGACCAGGGCTGCAGCAAACAAAGTGAAACATGGCACATGGCAGGCAGCAGCACAATGGGAGGGCTTAGCCACTTTTGAGGGCATTAAAAAGGAATAGTTTTTGGAATAACTTTTGTGGGGAAAATCTACGCATATACGCCCCGGGGCTATGGCTTGGATTTAATTATTTCATGACATTTGAATACAGCTGACCAAAAATGGGTATTGTTTTTGGACAAGATTAATTGAGAGTTGTGTTTTTGTGGTCTTTTTTAAGTAGTTAGTAGTAAGGTAAAGTATACTAGTCCCTAGGATTTTCTTAGTTGGAATTTATATTTAAATAAAATGGTTTTAGAAATTATATTTTTTCGGTACTTATTTTCCTAAGACACTTAGATACTGTAACCCATTGTCTGACAGCCTACACTTCTGATGACATTGGCGATGCTGATGAGCTTTGGCCTAATGTGGTTGTTCATTTTGTAGTGGTCTAAACCAATTGCAGAATTTACATAACTGCTGGGAATGGCCAGCATTGTGTGTGTGTGTTGGCCGCTTTTCTGTCTGCCACCGGTCGAGTGAGGGCCAATTTCAGTAATTTTTGCGTCAGCCGCTAGCCTAATTTGTGGGCATTACTATTCCGCCGGCGTTCCAAGTCGAGCCGGCTTAAAATATGAACTCCAAGTCCCCCTGGACCCACAAGCGGTGTAGGGATTTGGGAGGCCACTATCCAGGGAAACGGCCAATTCTGGTTGAGGAAAACAAGAAAACAATTTCAGTGTTATTGCACGTTTCACTCTTTCTGCCTCGTATGTGTGCCGACTGTCGTCAAGTGTCCTAAATGGCTGGATCACACTTCTGGCTGGGAGTAGGCGCTCTTTTTCTATGGTAAGCCAAACAAAGCGAGGACACGGCAAAAACCCAGTAAATTAATCGGCTTTGGGGGAATAGTTTTCGAACCCCTTACGAAAGCCCCCGCTTCGCAGGCTCATCCCCTTGGAGCCACAAGGAATTACAAATACGCAATGCACCAGAAAAATAAAATTCCCTTTTTTGTTTGACCAAGCAAATTCCTTTGAGGGAAATCAAAACCGATTTGATTGCCGGCTAAATCGGTTTTAATTGAAAATGCAAACTCTGCCTTGAGCAACCCGTTCCGGTTTTATTCTTGTGGTTACCAACCCTTCCACCCTTTTGGGATCTTCCATCTTGACACGCCAAACAAAACGAGAGCAAAACCAAAGGGAAAAAGAAGCATTCCAGTCGGCAGTGGATTTTAAATTTACTATTTTTCTGGGAGTGAAATTTTCAATTTGCATTTTAACCAAAATTCGCTTGCAACCTTTTTCGGTGGCCCAGGAAATGGGCCTGGGGTGGACCTTATCAACACAGCCAAATCACACGCATTCGTTCGAAATGATTTCGTGGGGGAAATTTATGCGGTTGCCCTGTGGATTCTCTTTTTTTCCACTTTTCTTTCACTTTTTTTGGCTTTTCTTTTTTTTGTGGTGTGCAACCAGACACGTAGAAATTCTGGGCAGCTGAAAGGTAACGAGAGCGGCTGAAATTTCTTGCTTTACCTAAATCAAGGCTCTGACAAGCACGTGAAATGAAATAATTTAAAAATGCAAATTCTATTTTATCAACCCACTGATATCTGAGCCCTGGAAAACAGTAACGAATCCTAGTATTTTCTTCGTTGGCCATTGAACTGGCAGCCATTCGAGGAAAGTTAACCGCAAATGAGTTGGTTTTCCGCTCACGAATATTTTTGATTTTATAGGATTTGGCAGAAAGAGTAATGGGTGCGCTTTTGTGATTGTGATATTACTTGCCAACTGATATCTTATTGAAAGATTTTTGGCAAGCGAGGGAACTTTTTAATTTAAAACATGTTATGAGAGTGAAAACTAGGAGGAGCAGAAATATTGAAATAAAACGGTTTCCCCTGCAGATGGACATGTTCATTTTCTTGTTCACTGTTTTTGTGGCTTGCTAAAAACTTTTCTTTTCAATGACTTGGACTGCCAAGTTCATTCCGCTCTTCATCCTACTCCCGCCCGCCCCTCAGTTTAGTGGATGAGTGTCCTGCGGCAACATGTCCTTGCCAGAGTGTTGGGGCAGAAAGTTGCTCAAAATAACTTTTTATGAGTGGGTGTGTTGAGCTAATCAATGGTGTTGCCATTTCCTAGCCAAAAAGATGTTCTCTTACTTTCTGCTTTCTTTTTTTTTTAGAAATTTATTGCCTGAAGTTATTAGCTTTGTAATCTTTTAATAAAGTTTAGTCTAAATGGATGGGGGTTTTATATAACTTACACACTCAGAAATTGATTTTAGTTTGGCCATCAATTGTGTAAATATTTTCGGGATATCTGTGATATGTGATACATTTGTTTTCCGCAGATAAAAAAAAGTGAAAAAATACTATATAAATATTTAAAACATATCCATTTATATTTGACTGGTTTACATTTAATTTGATTAACTTTAGCTAGGTGCGCACTGCGCAGGTAAAGGTGTGCGGTGCTTTGATTCACTCCAGCCAAGGACGTTAGTTGCACGTGTTTGTGAAATGATTATGAGGCTAAAGTTACCATTTATTTTTTATGCTTAATTTTCCCCTAGGGCACAAAGTCGAAAACATAAAAAGGAAAAGTTTAAAAGGGAAACAGAAACCGGCGATGGTGAAAGGAAAAGGCAGCCAAAGCTACAAAAAACAAACAACTTTTAGCAGCAAAAAAGTGTGGCAAAAAAATTAAAAGTGAAAAGGAAACAGAGAACAATATGAAATGAAAGCCACCACAGGCGGTGACATTAAGCGGCAAATTTTTATGATTTTAATTAGCATAAAAGCGTAATTGAAAATTAACTGAAACGAAATACATGTGCCTCCGCAAGTGCGAGTGTGTGTGTGACAGCCCCACACTCGTTTTCCAAGTCCCATTTGTTTTGCCGGAATTTTAATTCATTCACCTTGCATAAGCCGATTGCAATAATTTTCCTCAATTTACCAACGCTTTGATGTGCGGCACAAACATTTATTAAATTTATATTTATTTATTTAGGACTTTTCGCCTGTCGACCGAGAATATTCATATTCTTGATGATTATATTTTAATTTCAGGTAAAAGTGTGTACAAAATCCAATTTTTTCATTCTTTTAAAGGAAGCAATTTCAATCCACTTTGTTGATTTAAAAGTACCATTTTGTAAATACTTTTAAAATATATCTAAGCTTGGATTTTTCTGCAGAGTTCTTATATTTTATCCATTAAAATTGGCTTCCTAATATAAAAATAAAAAAAAGTATAACATTTTTCCTGCCAAATGATCAACTTCAACTACAAGCCCCTCTAATTAGCAGTTCGTATGCCCAAACATGCTGTAAACACAAACGTACTCTGCTTTATTTTTTGTCTTCCACAGAAGTAGTCACCTGCAGCAGTCCGGAGGGAGCAGCGAATCCAGATCCAGTGGCTGTGACACGGGGACTGAAAGCTGCTGAGGAACAGCTTGGGACGGCGGCCACCACAAGATCCACTTTGCCAGATAGGCCAATGACAACACAAAACGATCTAATTACGACAGCCAGCAACTTGACGACAGCAAAAGCAGAAAAGCCAGCCGCAGCAGCTGAACATCCAGAAACAGCAGCAACAGAGGCACCCAGCTCATGGGGCACTACCATTGCCGTGGCCCGGGGCATGTCGTCAGCAGATGTGGCAGGAGAAACGATAGCAGCCAGCCAGTCAGCACAAATTGGGCTAACTACTCAGGCCGCAGTGGGGCAAACAGAAGCAACAGCAGCAGCGACGACAGCAACTGAGACCGCAGCAGAGATGCTCATATCAACAATTTATCCAGCATCAACGGAAACGGATGTGCACAACTCCATTGAACAGCTGGCGGGGCGAGGTGGAAAGATGGCGCTCGCAGCGCATCCGGGTGTCCCTGTCTCTGTCTCCGACTCATTGACCAAGGGCTTCTCCATCCCGACCTTCCTGCCGCCATTTCCCGTTTTTGCGGCGGCGGATTTGCCCGCTTACCGAGCCGCTGCCGATGCCGCGGAGGCGGCCAAGTTGGCGGCAGAGGCGGCGCGGGCGGAGGAGCAGGCCGCCAAAACATCCTCCGAAGCGGTGACAATGTCGCCGGAGGAGCAGCGTCGGCAGACCTTTAATGAGCAGCACTCCTACCTGGCCGCCCACCGGGAGGGGGCTGGTGGTTCGGGGGCAGGTCGCAACCTGACAATGCCCGTGCTGAACATCACCGCCCAGATGGGAAACCACGCCTACATGCCGTGCCAGGTGAGTTTAGATGAGTTGAGTTGAGTGAGAAGTACACGCGAAAAATGGCTAGCCCCTATAAGTAGGCTAGGAAAAGTTTTCAGGAAAATAAACTAAATATTCCATCAAGACCAAAATGTAGTTTCAATGAAAATTTTCAGACTTTAATAAACTATTAGTTTTTGCTGATCTCAGAAATAGTTTTCTGAAAAAATTATATTCAGCAAAATAATCAAAAAAAATTTCGGAAAAAATTGTTTCAGTGTAGATCTTTTGTTTGCTGTTCGCAGCTAAATCCACTGGGTGGCTTTGCCTGTAGGTCGCGCCACGAAGTGTGACATAAGTCGCGTAAGCCTTAAAGGTCGGCTCAGAAAAAGGGTTTTAATACGAGATTACGTTTAATTGCGAATATTATATTTGAATTAAATGTCACGTGTCATAAATAGCTGTCAACATGTTAAGCGGCTTAAAGAATTATCCTATTAGGGAGCTGTAAAAAAGGGGAGAGCTTACAATGATCAAAGCTTCTATTGAAAATGTGAGATATAGTGTCAATTCAAAAACCCAGAGGAAAAGTAATCTTACTTGTAAGGCTAAGAAATAACTAAATTGAAATATTTATGAAGAGGAAGGATTATGCCTAAACAAGCATACATAAATGCTGTCCCTATTACGCTTGCTTAGACAAAGTATTTTTTAATCTACACCAAAAGAAAGACATGACCTCTGGCAATAGCATTCCACTAGCTTATTTATCCTTCTGCAGAGCTTTATCGAGCATTCCCAAAAATGAGGTTATCCAAAAATGTAAATTCCTCTGGGCAGCTTTAACGGATTAGCCAGACCTTAAGGCCACACACGTCACCAAGGATTTAATTTCCAGCATTAGGACTTTAAGCACTCAAGGCAAGCGACCCTGACTCACTTACGAATTCCTCGAAACTTGAGCCAAGCGAAGACGAGCCAGCGACAGACTGACTGCCTCGGTGTCCCTCCTTCTGCTTCCGAATTCCTTTTTAATTTCAACGGACCGGAGATAAAACTAGCATTTACATATTGCACACAGGCACGCCTTCACACATCCGCAGGCCCAGACACAGACGCAGATACAAATACAGAAGCAGAAACAGATTCAGATACAGATACATCTGGATGGGAAGGGGCGAAACACTTATTTGCATGCATACATATTGCACAGTGTATTTTGCATACGGCTACAACAGACATCAAATTTACATGCGTTCGTAGGTGTTTCTTTCTTTCGCCCTGAAAACATATATCTAGGATATGAGTGTATGCGGATATCTGCTGAATGGACTTTAACAAAGCCCGAAGACCAGGTTCTGAAAAGAGGAGAGCAAAAAATAAATACATATATATATTTTTATAAATTGTGCGGAATTGTAAACGGCAAATAGAAGCCTGAGCCCGGCCGCTTGTTTGCGTCATAAAAAATAAACGTAAACAGAATGAATTGTTGATATGCAAATGAAATTATGCTGATCTGGGCCGGACCACAAGCAGGACTAAAACAGGAGCAAAGCATGCTGCGGAAGCAGGGCCAAAGCAAAAGCGCCAACTGTGAGAATATTTTAGCACAAAGATGCGCAACCCCCTAGATTCCGCCTTCAGATCCGACCTCATTTCCATTTCCGGGCCTCAGACATTCACTTGGATCTCAGATTTAACGTCCCTTCACTCGTTTGAGCCATCACATTTTTTGCCTTCCTTTTTTGCAACTTAACACCGAAACGACAGGGAAACGTGGCCGGATTAGTTTGTCGGGCCGGGGTAATTATTCATGTATGGATTAGCCAACATCGAATGCAATCTGTGTAATGTGAAAGCTCATTAGCGGCAGATTGGCGAAGATTAACATAATAATAGTTATGTAAATGCTGGCTGCCTTGAGCTTTGATGTTTTAATAGTCCAGTGATTTTCGGGGAAAAAAGGCTTTAGTAGGGGCTTTTGTAAGGTTTAAATAAAATTAAATATTTCTTGCGAATTAATGAAGACCTTTCTAATAATTCTGTTCTCCATTTACATTTATTTATTTTATGAATTCCCTGCTTTTTCAGATACACCGACTGTCGGATAAGCCCGTTTCGTGGGTGCGCATGCGCGATAATCACATCATCAGCGTGGACGAAACGACCTTCATAGCGGACGAGCGATTCCAGTCGATATTCCAGGAGGATCACGATTACACATGGTCGCTGCAGATCAAGTACGTGGAGCTCGGCGATGCTGGGTGGTACGAGTGTCAGATGGCAACGGATCCAAAGCTAAGTGCCAAGGTGCATCTGCAGATAGTCAGTGAGTGTTAACGGTTAAATCATAAATTAAAAAAAAATGTATTACATTAATTAATAGACAAAATTATGTATATTTTTCTGGTACCTTACATTTTTATTTAAGAGTCATCTTATAAAGCTTACAAAATTTATACAACTCTTCCCAGAACCCAAGACTGAGCTGATTGGGGATCAGAGCCGCTTCGTGAAGGCGGGCAGCAAGGTTGCGCTGCACTGCATCGTCCGGGGAACCTTGGATCCGCCCAAGTATATCATCTGGTTCCGGGGCCAGAAGAAGATTAGCGAAAGTGACGAGCGAACCGGCTGGTACACGCAGCTGGATCGTAATATTTTCGGAACCGTGGGCGATAATCAGAACACGGTTAGTGGGGTGTTTACGAGTAGTACGGTTAATTGGCTAGTTGAATGCCGCCACTGAACATAAACATTTATTGCAGATCGGCTCATTAATTATACCGCTCGTGCGGAAAGAGGATTCCGGCAATTATACGTGCCAGCCGTCGAACAGCGTCTCCGTATCCGTGGACCTGCACGTGCTAAGCGGTAAGTTAACAGCCCCGGGGACCGAGTCCTGTCCTGTCCTTTCCCATCTTATGCTATCCTATAACCCATCTACCTGAATGTGTGGCAAAATGAATGATTCATATTAATCGCAACTGTCGCCGCTGTCGACGAATTGCGATGGCCAACAGGTGAATATTCCGCATCGGCCATCATGTCAACGGCGGCAAGGACGACGAGAGGCGGAAGGAGCACGTTCCACGTCCCCATGCTCGGGCTCCTGGGAATCCTTGGACTCCTCTGGGCGATGCAGGGAGCGATGCACACACCACCGGCAGCTCGCCAGACGTGACTCGCCTATTGAACGCCTGGTCGTGGCGTCCGACTTCCAATTATTTGTAAGCTTTTGCGCCATCTGCAGTTACGTAATTTAGGTTAGAGATTAATTAAAGGCGGCCTTGTAAATAGCGGAGAGAGCAGCAGGAGGAGGAGCAGGAGCAGGAGCCCCGTCGAAGCAGGATTGACGACTCTGTAATTAGGTTAAAACGTTACCATAACTCTCATGTCTGCGTGTCTCACATTATCCCCCATGCCATACTGAATTCAATCTAATGTACAATTCAATTTAAGCAGACCCCATTTCAAGTTGTGAAATCGAATCAATAATTAGATTATTGTCAGAGAGATATTATTGAATAAATAAAATAAAACTGAATCATAAAAATCCATCATAAATAACAGGCATTCAATAAATCATGTGAAACTTTATTTAAATCTGTGTTCTTTCTGCGTTCTTTCTGTGTGCTCGGTTTTCGGTTCATCAGAATGGTAAATCATTTATGAATATTATCAGGCTTAACTAATTGATTGGCCGTATTAGCATTCTCTGGCGAGCCATTGATTAAAATGGAAAAAGTTTAATTTAAATATATTTCAGTGCTATAAATCGGCATTTCAGGCTAAATGCGCAAATGCTTGGAATGAGTTATTCGCTGCTGCTAAGCGAATTAAATTTGTGTATTTGTGTTTCCAATTAATTCTTTAAATATTCTTGCATGCTTTTTGGGAATCGAGTATGAATAAAGTAGAAAAGGTAAAAAGGGGTAAAGCGGTTTTGAGTTTCAGTTGAAAAAGGTTGCTTTTTTAAATCCGAAACCCAAAAGAAAATACCTAAAGGTCATTAGGTGAGCTGGAATTTTCTTACACATTAGGTTGCTTTTTTCGGAATTTAAGTACGTAACAACATGAAGCAAAAATAAGTAAGTCAAACCCATAACCCATTCTTCCCGAATATCCTTACTGGCTGACCCTCAGTTGACGTGGCCGATAAAAAGAGGCGACCAGCAAACGAATTTCCTCAATGGGGATATGCATAAATAATTTAATATTTTATGGTAATTTGACTACAACTCCAACTCAGAAGCGACCTTGTTTGCGACATCAAAGTGACGAAAGGCAAACAAAGATGAGCCAACACTTATGGCCTGGCCAAAGGGAAGAAGGCCAAGTAGAGTGCATAAAAATAACACAAGCCATAAACTGGCGAATTCCAAGGGTCATAAAGCCTTTAAGGTAGCCAGTCTATTTTATTGCAGCGGAAATCACATCTCCTTTTTCCCCGAGAGTACGGGCTGTATAAAAAACATGGCGAGGCGGGGAAAACAAACAAAAAGTATGGGGTAAGAATAAGAAACAACACGTAAAATTTGTCGTTGTCCTGTCAAGTAGGAGAATTTTCCCGGAGCGAGTGGGATGGACGTAAGCGAAGCAATTTTCAAGAAACACAAAGACCCTGGGCAGGGGAGAGATGGAGCCGACGAAAGGCAGTAAATATTTTTCACTATGCTGCTGATGCTGATGACTGACTCGCCCGACGACAGCCTGGAAAAAGAGGGAAAAGGGGGAACCCCCGCTGGCTTAAGTCCAACAACTCAGCAGGGCCCGCGTCAAGGCAGGAAAAGTCAAACAAGATGAAGCCAGTTGGAAATGTCCTTGCTCGACGCTAGCCCGGCAAAATAAGAACCGAAGAACAACAAGAAAAACCAAAAATAAAACTTTAAGATAAGCCATGGCAGAAGGGAGAGCGAAAGTGAAAGTGAAAGTAAAGTGAGCACTTTCAAGTGACAGTTTCATCCAACATTTATACATTTCTTTCTCTTTGCTAAATATATTCAATATCCGATAAAGCGTTGCCAGTCGCTCGCCTGGATTTCCGAAGACATTCTATTTGAATTCTCACTTGAGCCGGCCAGCGGATGGCAATCAAATTACTGAACTCGTCCCACACTTCAAAGTGGGACCACTTGATTGTCGTCAAAAAGGCATCGGATAAAATATGATACTATGCCAAGGGAAATTTAAAAATTTGGCCCAGATTTATACAAACCAAGAATATTGACTAAAGCCCATGAAGAAAATTGTGACATATTTTTCAAGTTTTTAAGTTGATTACACATACGCACTGTTGCCTTCGAATAATAAATAATTTTAATCTAGGCGTTTTTGCTGCATTTTTCTTTGTTCTCTCTTTTTTAAACCAATTAATTAAGAAATTCATAATTTGATAATGTTTTTTGTACCATATTTAAGGGTGAGAATAAGACTATATTATTTGGACCACCAAATCTTTTCCTTAGATATTTTAAAACTTTTAAAAATATTTTAACACGTTTTCAAGATTGTTTTAAGGTTTTCTTTTAAGGAATACTTCATACCGGGTTGACCTCTCTTGACATACCATTTTCAACTTCCTTCGTGTTTCACCATTTTGTTTTTCCCTGAACTTCTTAATTTTCTCGAGTTTTTTTCCCTATAATGACCAAAGGACTACACGAGAAACAGAGGCGAGTGCACCCAATGACATCTGGCCCAGACTTGACCGTTTTGTCGTGTAACCAATTTTGCTGCTTCTGGTGGTGACCCAAGAAGACCAGATAATTGGGTTAGCTGCGAGACAGGACCCCTTTTAGTCCCGCCTTCCAAGGGGGCAGTGCGAGTGCGTTTTATGATCCTTTGATGTCCAAAGTTGGCCTTCTACTCTACCTTGCACTTCGCTCCATCAGCACGAATTTGGTTCCTCTTTTTTTGCTCGGTGTTTTAACACATTTTTTTACAGACTTTCCTTGTTCTCGAAGCACTTAGGTTTCGGAAGTATTTTTTGTTGTCTTAACTTGGCTATTTGAACCGAGCTTGGTAGTTGTGTTTGCGGTTTCGCATTTCTGTAAACAGTAAACAAGTCAAACCGAAGGCATACAGCCCCACCACTGAAATTCCGTCCCAAAAAAGTAAATAAGTCCCAAGCAAATAAATCAGTGGAAATCTTCAGATAATTGTATTGAACCAGCCGAATAGCGGGGCAATTGGCGAAGTCAACAAATTATTACAAAAGTATGGCTCCTCTCTTGTTGGCATTAGCTCCCTCAATCCTCGCTGATAAGTTAAGGGTAATCCTCATTTTTCCTGAATTTCGGCCTCTGATAGACGTCAAAGAAGTCTTATCGGACACGTATCTCTGGAACGGTTCAATTTGAGGAAGATAAATTGCGTTTGCGTTAGAAATTTCTGTCCGAAGAATTCAAATCATTTCGCATTCGCGAACTGAAACCGTTAATACACTACTATTTTATAAAAAATACTTAAGCAGACTTGTAAAAATTTAAAAGAAAAAATATAAATAAATATAAAACCGCGTTTTAAAAATTATAGACATTTTTCTCTTAGTTTAACTATAAAAATAGGTAACATATTGGAAGAAAAATATTTTATATCAGAGCTAAATACTCGAAACTTTTTATAAAACACTTTTTTTTAACAAAATATAACTATTTGTATTTCCATTTCACTAGTCAATTGACTACTTTTTTGGCCAGTGCTTACCCTCGCGCTTTTTCCATTCCTGAAATGGGTTTGCTGTAATGCGCGTAAATGCAAATCATTATCAACAACATTTGCATTGAGCAGCATCGATGATGGGATGGCCTGGGATGCTGTGTGTTCAGATACGGGAAGTGGGGGAATGGGACTCCCCATTCGGGGACCAGAGAGGATTCCGAATGGGTTTACTATCGACGCCTGGCCACCGCACATTGTTTCCCCAACTGGCAGGCTATTAGGGCTGATGAATTTGCGCGCAGCTTGCAGTTATAAATATTTGCACATTTCGCAGTCCGAGTGGCCAGCAGCCAGTGCAATTTGGGTGCCTGTGAATCGGTGGGTTTTAATGATAATACGCCACCACCCAACAAAAGCTCATTTCATTTGCATTACCGCACTCCCGCACACTCTTGCACACCGAAATACCCATGTTGTCCAACTTAGCCAAGGGCAAACAAAGAAGCTGGAAATTTAACCAAGGAGGAAATTCTTTTACCGAGTTATGTCTGCTATTTTCGGCCCATTTCCCCCTACCACTCCCTCCGTTCACTGTCACTGCCATCATCCATTGCCTTCCGCAATCTCTTGCAGATTTTTTTTCTTTTCAAACTATGGCACAAATGTTGAAGTGTACATTATTCTTAACTTTTTTTGAGTTCGATAAGCGAAGCCAGAAAATTATGATGATGCCGGCGATGCTGGGATGCTGATGATGCTGCTACGTAGCTGATGTGCTGCTGATGATGACGATGTTCGACTGGAGATAACCCACCAACTTGCGGAACAAACAACAAGTTTGTCTTCACAGCAAATTCGTTCGTCATGTCGACGGGGGATAAGTGGCCGGGAGGATACAAAGGCCGAAGTAACACACCCCTAACAAGTTGAACTTTTGGTTGGCATGGCAGGATTTATATTTATTTTTTGTAAGTAAATTGTGGAAAATATCTCCTTTAAATTTGTAAAAGAATTTGGTGGTGGTTTTCAGTTATTAAATATTTTAATAAGCATTTCTTGTTTTTATATCCTGTCATATATGTCATCATTCCTATGTTCCTTTTCATTCCTTCCCTTCCCTTTCCTTTTACCCTTAGATTTTGTTGACATTCCTTGAAACTAAAGTTATCATTTAGATGCCAAAAACAAGACTGAGACTTCCATTCGCCCACTGCTAATTAGAGTCTGCCCCTGAAGAGAGTGCCATAAATTTGAAAGAAAACTTTGTCTGCCCGAAACTTATTTCGAATTATCCGAGTACCGAACGCCGGCTCACACCAACCGCCTTCAATTTGTATTGGTCGTAAAGTTTGGCACTCACCTTGCGGCTTTAATTAAAGCAATTGCAGTACAAATTTTAATTATAAAACGCCTTCCCTTGCCGCTTAAAACAAACAATCAAATTATATGTTGTTTACAATTTTGTGGTACGCGCCCGGGTTTTATTTTCCAACTTATTGACGATGCCTCTGGCAGGCAAAAAAGGCTGAGAAGGCGGCGAAGCTCTTCTGGTGACCCAGACAATTGTTTTAATTTTCCGCACGTCGGGCGGCGTTTAGAAGGCAATAAAAAATTATTGGCCAAAAGCACAATTAAAATAAAAAAGTCGAACAGGCTCGGCTTAACGAACTCGAGCCAACTTTTTTATGGCACCAACATATTTATTATTGTGCGGGGTCAACGAGAGAGCGAAATGTTTAGTAGCCATCGCTCTAGACATGGTTTTACGGCTTATCCCTGTTTGCCTTTTTTATGACATTCTTAAGCAAATATTCGAATCGAGTTTATGAGATTGTGATCCGTACTTTGCAGCAACTGCTGATGATGCCGAACGGCTGTCAGGCAGGCCGGGCA